ACAAGTTCAATCATCAATGACAATTAAGAGTCTTAACTGTAAAGGTCAAAAATGATTTGTTTTGCTTCCCTACCTGTCCACTTGAGATTTGTTAATTTCACTGCCTTTTGAACAGTGATTTTGAGTTATACAGTCAGACTCAAGACCATCTCCATGCAAAATATGTAGCATTGCATTTCCCAGTATGTATATTTTTTATTTTTTATTTTTTTTGCTTTTTGGGTCACACCTAGTGATGCTCAGGGGTTACTCCTGGCTCTGCACTCAGGAATTACTCCTGGCGGTGCTCAGGGGACCATATGGGATGCTGGGATTCAAACCCGGGTTGGCCGTGTGCAAGGCAAACGCCCTACCCGCTGTGCTATTGCTCCAGCCCCAGTATGTATATTTTAAAAGAAAAAAAAGCAGCAATGGCAAATGCCAACATTAATTCCCTTCCACCATCATCCATCTTGCTATGGCAAAAGCTCAAACCATCTCTCTTTCCTTTTTCCTTAAACTCATCTTCTTTGTTGTCTTTGAAGTTCATGTCATTGTGATTTATTATGATTTCAATGAATCCTTGAACTTATTCAATGATTTCCTTTATCACTTGCTGTAAACTGCTCTCTAGCCACACTTCCCTATAGTTGATGAGTTTGGCATTTATTTTGCTACTAACCCAGAGCTCTTATTGTCATATTTCATGGAAGGCTTTTTTTTTCAATATCTGTTTGGATACATAACCAAACCAATCATTGACCTCCTTTTTTCTGGACAATTTCACTGTTAAGAAGTTTTCCTCTATTCAGTCTTACTCATATGCTCATGTGGTCATACCCTCATCCTTGCTCTGTCTCTCTCATAGGCTTGTGTCCTTTCAGCTCACATCTTCTCATTTCAGAATTTCAGTGTGAGGTGAAAAAAGTAATGACCAGTTCATGAATAGCTAATGTCTCCTTTTGTTCTCTCCTCTCTTTCATCTACTGTGGAATCTGTGGTTCATTACAAAAACACCTCCAGGGCTGGAGCAACTGGACAGTGGGTAGGGCACTTGCCTTGCACATGGCTGAACCAGGAACAAGCCCTAGCAACCCACATGGTCCCTCAAGCCTGCCATGATTGACTCCAGACCACAAATTAGGAGTAAACCTGGAGCACAGTCAGATGTGGTCCCCAACAAACAACAGAAAGCAAAAACAACACCTCCCTTCCAAACAATTTTAACTCCCACTGTTCCTCCTTCCCTCCCCTCCATGCTTTTTCCTTGTTCCCCAACCTTATCACCATCCGCCCACCATCAATTATAGTAAAACTCAAGTACCTGTAATCTCAGTATCTGAATGTGACCCTGGAAGGTTGCTGGGGAAAAAACACTGGTCTTAAATTTAATTTAATTTTGAACTTTAAATTCATCACCATAGATCTAAATAGGGATTATTACTGCCTCTGCCATAGTACACAGACTTTTCCTGTTTGGAAAAATGACTTTTTAATTCTTCCAAACTATTTAAAACTATTTCTATTGCCTCTTCAAGCACCTACATTTCTTCTTTCCATTCCACTCTCAAATGGCAATCTTCTACATAATTCATGTAAATGATAAGAACAACTAGTTAGGGGCTCCCGTATGTTTTCTTTTCTTGTCTAGACATGTTCTTTTTTTTCAAATTTATGCTCTCCTTCCACTGAAGTGTTCATTTTTCCTTTTATACTAAAGTACTTCATTATCTTACAAGCTCTTTGGATCTTTTGTTTTGTAAAAATTCCTCCCATGCATTCATATCTTTTTCGGTATCATCTTGCATGTTTCCCTGTACAGAAAATGCAATTGCTAGTTGTTGGAGTACAAGGAGCTTAGGTTTATCCAGCTAGTGATGCTAAGACTGCCACCATTCCTTTGTTCTAGAAAACTGGCAGAATGCTCACTATAAAAATGGCGGAATGCTCCCTTCTCAGAATGCCCTGATTCTCCTGAGTTATAACTTGGTTATTCAATGTGATAATTTCATTCCTTTCAGCTTTGTTGACATTATTGGAAAAGTAGCAGTTATATATATTTTAAGTAAACCATATAATATTTGATAAACATATATATTGGGCTGGAGCAATAGCACAGTGGGTAAGGTGTTTGCCTTGCACGTGGCCGTCCTGGCCGAGCCGGGTTTGATTACTCCTCCTCTCTCCAAGATCCCGGTAAGCTACCGAGAGTATCTTGCCCGCTCAGCAAAGCCTGGCAAGCTTCCCATGACATATTTGATATGTCAAACACAGTAACAACAAGTCTCACAATGGAGACATTACTGGGCCCGCTCGAGCAACTCAATGAACAACAGGAGGACAGTGCTACTTATATATTGTGAAATGATTTCTACATCTACGTAATTAACATATCCATCACCTCACATTGTTACCAATGCTATTTTGATAATTACACTCTCTCAGTGCGTGATCTCACCCAGTCCTGTGAGTTAAAAATATTATCTGGTCACTCTTAAATACAAATTTTCAAATTTTATCTCCCTTAAGCGTATAGTTTTATCTAACTACTTGCCAACTCTCCTGGCATGTCTCATAGGCAACTAAACTGAAAAACATCAAAACATGACAGAAGATATTGCACCTAAATCTGCTTCTGTCATAAAAATGCCCCTTTTAGTGAATACTAACACTACACACTCCACTGCTTAAGCCAAAAATGAGTCCTATTCAATTCCTCTCCTTTCCTCATCTTTCCACATCAATTACATCAGTATGACCTTTTGGTTTTATCTCCAAAGCATAACCACTGGAATATAACTTTCATCAAGGGATTATAGTTTGTCCCATTCAGTGTGTTCTAAGGACATAGACAATGACAGTCACATAGTAGGAAGCAAATAAAAGCTTGTAAATGAAATGTTTCAGTCTTGAATATGACCACTTTCACCAGTCCTATACTAATATCATAGTGGAAGTCATTAATGTATCTTGCCTCTATTTTGACAATAGAAAACATCTAACCTGCTGCTGTTACTTTTGACTTCACAGACCCTTCAGTTAGAAGACTGATATCTGCAATACTGAAACTAAACAGATTCTAATCAGAATAAAACTCCATTTTTTTCACAGTCACCTACAAAATCCTATATGACTGTGCTGACCAGTTCCTTAAATCTCAATTCCTATTTCTGTCTTGTCATTCTTTATTATTTTCTCTAATTTGATCCAAGTTCCACCAAACTTACCTTATCATAATGAAACTCAACTGAGACTCAAAAAGTTCTTATTCTCAGTGACTCTCCTTGTAGACTAATCCATAAAGTTTGAGGTAGAGCACAAAAATCCACTTTTTAAAAGCATTTCCAATGATCCTTTAATTTTGTTTTACTTTGGGGCCACACCCAATCAAACTCAGGGTTTATTTCTGGCCCCTTGCCTATGAATGACTTCTGGTGGTGCTCAGGGGATCATATGGGGTGCCAGGGATCAAATCCAGGTCACTGCTTGCAAGAAACGTACCTAAACCATTGTACCATGGCTCTGCCCCTCCAGGTGATTTTTATGATGAGAAAGATACAGCCTAAGAATCCTCCACAGAGCTTTTCAGGAAAGAGAGAAGGGACAACCAGCAAGGTAGAGCCCAGAGTCTGTGCAAGAACCATCCTGGTAAATATATCAGGACTTGGTGAGCTTCTGTACATCATAAAACCTCAAAATAACATCTAAATCCCAAGTCACTTCTATGTCAATACCTATGGAAGTATAAGTATTAATAACAGAACATTTCATTTCAGCACAGTAATATGTAACTATGGCTTTACCAGCTGACTTAACTTGTCACTGTTTGGGGAACAAATTTAAAACAATATCTCTCATCTCCTGTCTATAAAATTTTAACTTCAATTCTCTAGTGAATTTGGTACAGGTGCAGGCATTCACAGTAGTAAGACACACATTTCTTTCCCAGGGTGTGAATCTGAAAAGAAGTGCAAGTCTTCTGTTGTCTGAGATCAGTGTGGATTCAGAATCAGGGGCACTTCTGAAATCTGTCAGCTTTGTAATTACTTGGGCAAGTTCAGAAGTACTGACACGCAGGCCCCATCCTGAGACTGGGATTTTATTGATAGGGAATGTGGTCAAGGTTTCAGGTCTCCAGGGAAGACTGATATGCCAGCAAAACTGGGAACCCCTACCTGGAGATTTTAAGTCGTTTATTTTAAATCTCAAGTCTCCTGTGAGTAGTTTGAGCTTTTGCATTAAAAAGTCAAGTCAGGGCCAGAGACATAGTACGGTTGGTAAAGCATTTGCTTTGTATGCAGCCTACCCAGATTTTATACCCAGCACCTCTGAGCCTACCAGGAGTGGTCCCTGAGTACAGAGCCAATAGTAAACCCCAAGCACCAACAAATGAGGCCTCAAAGCAAAAAAAAATGTCAGGACAGTGAAAACAGCCTGATAAGATTTATCAAGTGTTAACCAACATGGGTAGGATGAATAAGTAGAATGAGTAGGAACATGTGTGGGAATGTTTTAGCCATCATGGGGAGGAATCTTATTTACAGGAATCCGGAGCAATTGATGAGCAAGTTAAGGAAGTTAGTTTCATGACATACAATGCCACCGATGCACCTAAATTATCACAGTTCCAAACAAAAAAATGTTAAGTACTTTTGTCCCAGTGAGTATAAACCCTCCCCCTCCCCAGTTAACCAGCTAAAATATAGTGCTCTCAGCAAAGTTTGAGTGTCAGATGCTCAACAGATAATTTGTCAATATTTAAGTATATCTAATGTAATATTTGGGACATCTGGCAAATATTGTTGAATATTATCTGAAACTCCCAGTTTCCTGTGTGAGCTGTGCATTTGCTAAGTGAGACAACTCAGCTCTGAGCTGAATGATAACTTAGTGTAGCAGGATCGGTCAGTACCAATATGATCCTGAGCTTCTGGCTCACTCTGTGTTCTGCTTTCTGAATGCCATTTCCCAGGGAACCACCTCAAGCTCTAACGACGGTTCGCACTGACAGTCAGTCATACCTTATTCTCCCTCTTCTGTTTTTTTCGGAGTCGCAGGAATTCCTTATGTTGTCGGGAGACAAAGTTCACGGCGGCATATTCCAGTAAGGCAGCAAACACAAACAGAAGGCACACCGCCATCCAGATATCAATCGCCTTTACATAGGAGACCTGAGAGAGAGAGAGAGAGAGAGAGAGAGAGAGAGAGAAATGCGTGAATAAAAATCTTGCCAAGAGAACCATGTTCCTATGCTCACAGTGTGAGCAGAATAATAGAATGATCTCAAGGATTTTTCTAGACCTTCCATAAGAAAGTGCTCAAGCAATAAGTAATATATCCATTCTACTTTGATGATTCTGGAGCAGTTTATATATAATATATACCTTATGACCTTGTTTCATCTCCTCAAACATAACCCAGCTGCTAAAGTAGCCTCAACCCTTAGACCAGCTCTAAAAAGAAAAATGACAAAACTTTGAGGTGAAATGTAGTGGATACTCTTCTCAAACCCTTTTATCTCCTTCTATTTTTTCCTTAACATTCAAAAACTGTATAGTTCGGGTAAGTCCACATCTTGGGTAGGAAATAAATCATGCATGACTTTAAACCCTTCACGAACCAACTGGTATTAACCGTCAATACATTGATCTTTAAATGACACAAAAACACGTTTCTAAACAGTTCTAAGCAGGGACTGGAGTGATAGCACAGTGGTAGGGTGTTTGCCTTGCACGGTTGACCCAGGTTTGATTCCCAGCATCCCATATAGTCCCCCGAGTACCGCCAGGAGCAATTCCTGAGTGCATGAGCCAGGAATAATTCCTATGCATTGCCGGGTGTGACCCAAAAAGAAAAAAAAAAAGCAGTGCTAAGCAACTGTAGTTCAAATATATTCAACCAAAGTAAAACTTCAGATTGTGACTCTTGGGAAGGAATTTAGTTAAAAAAAAACTTTTAATACTCTTCAGGATTTAGTAAGTGTTATAATTTGGAAAAGCAGATTCTGAAACAAACACCTTTTACATTATTTTTTAAATTAATTAATTTTTTTTATTTTAAAGCTTGTGTTTATTTATTTATTTATTTTATTAGTGAAACACCATGAGGTACAGTTGTAGACTTACAAACTTTCGTGCTTGGATTTAAATTATACAATGATTGAGTACCCATCCCTCCACCAGTGCCCATTCTCCACCACCAATGATCCCAGTAGTCCTCCCACCCCTCCACACCATCTCCCCCACCCCAACCCACCTCTTGGCAGGGCATTCTCTTTTGCTCTTTCTTTCCTTTAGGGTGTTGTAGTTTGCAATAGAGGTATTGAGTGGCCATTGTGTTCAAAACACCCTTTACTTTAAATGGAAAGTGTCCCTCATCTCTGTAAAATTATTTATTAGAGTATGGGGTGAGGGGAACAGATAAAATTGTATCATATTGATCTCAGAATCCAAGGGATGCTTATCAAATGTGTGCTACCTAGCTTTAATTTAAAAAGGGTTTTCTAGCCTAGCAAGCTACCCGTGACGTATTTGATATGCCAAAAACAGTAACAACAAGTCTCACAATTTGTCTTGAGATGTTACTGGTGCCCGCTAGAGCAAATCGATGAACAGCGGGAGGACAGTGCTACAATGCAGTGTAGTACTTTCTATTTTTTGATAGTCAACACTGTGTGCTTACCAGGTAGCATTTTAATCATCCTGCTTATGTTACTTTTCTAATCATTAAGATTATATTGGTGCCATTTCTGATGAAGAAAATAGAGTGAGAAAGACTTACATTACCGTTCATGGTCATGGAGTTAGGTGGTAGAGCTAATATTAGGATTAGAACCCAGTCTGACTAGTGGATTTCCTTTCTGGATATACACAAACACACTAGGATTATGAGCCGCCTCAAGAATTATGTGGTTTGTGTCTTGCATTTTATTTCTTTTGAACTTTATAGTGAGCACTTCCATGTCATTTAATCTGTAAATCTTCACCTCCAATATTCGCATAATGATCTAATTAATCACACAGCACAGAGCCAGTAGTAAGCCCCAAACATCACCAGGTATGGCACTAAACAAACAAAAAATTGCATATAGACTTAGAAAAGTAGTAGCACAGAGGGTGTAAAATCAGAGATTCTGGAACAAGATGCCCTGAGTAAGAAATGCCGCTTCATTACTAGCTCTCTAAATGTGCCAAGATATTTTACCTCTTTGCCTCCGTCCTTCATCTGTGTGATGTGGTCAATAATAGTACATATCTCATAGAATTTTTATGGGGATAAAATCACTTAATATATTCAAACACTTAGTGTCTGACATAGAACAAGTGCTATGGGAATGTTTGCAATCATTTGGCTACATAAGAGTGTGACTTTTGTTAATGGTGTTTTGACCACATAAGGGTTTGATTTTTGTTAATGGTGTTTTGACCACACCTGGTGGTACTCAGGGGTTATTCCTGGCTCTTCCCTCAGAAATTACTCCTGGCGGTGCTCAGGGGACCATATGGGGTGGCAGGAATAGAACGCAGGTAAACCGTGTGCAGGGCAAATACCCTACTCACTGTAACTTTCATGGAGAAATTTTGACAGAGAAAAATCAACAAGGGAAATAAAAATTACCTGTGACCCTAATATAGTCTACAGATTATCTTTTAAAGTATTTTTAATGTCAATACCTTGCTAGTTTCCTGGGTGTCATGACAAAATGATCTAGCATGCTGTCATCCCTAGTGCTTTGAATATGTTTCTTTTACCTGGAATACTTGTTCCCGTTCTTTATGGTGATTGGACTTAGAATATTCAGATCTTGCCTCAGATACCAGCTATCCAAGGAAGCCTCCCTAACCTTTCTTCTTCTCTCAACTGGATTAGGAATTTTCTTCCAGTTCCTTCCCTCTATTGAACATATGTGTGCCTTTTTTTATTTTTATTTTTATTTTTTTTATTAGTGAAACACCATAAGGTACAGTTATAAACTTACAAATTTTTGTGCTTGGGTTTCAGTTATACAATGATCAAGTACCCATCCCTCCACCTTAGTACACCAGATTCCTTGGTGTCACCCACTGGACTGTAAAATTTTGGTTTTGATTTTATGTCTGTCTTGTTTTGTTCACCAGGTCTCTGTGTTCGTCTTTGTACTACCAGCACAGGATGAATCAAACCATAAGTAAGCTTTAGATTCGTGGGATGGGGTTGACTATAAGGATGAAGAAAATATATGGAATTGTTTTTATCTTTTTGCTGTAACTCAGCAATTCTATACTCCCAACAATCTCATACAGCTGATGATACTTCTTAGAATGGAAGTCTTACCACACTTAAATTTTCTCAACACACCTAACATTCCAGGAATGCATATTTCCTTAATAAGTAATCATTTATATTTGCTCTCCTGTAGTAACCCCATTCTCCTATAATCATAGGTCATTACCAATTATAACATTCCCAGTTATATATTATTCAGAAGGCCTGTAAATGTTTTAAGACCCAATAATGAGAGGAATTTGTCAATGCCTGAGATATGTCCAGATCAAGAGCTAAGTCCAATATAGCTGACTATCATTCCCTGCCCCCTTCCCGATGTTTATGGCACTCAGTAATTTGTAAACCTTTTCCTGGTCTCTTTACTGATCATCAGCAGGCTGGGCACGTTTTGGGCTTCTTTTGTAGCTGCTCATAAATGAATCTTTTCAGTCTCTTAATCATTTTGGTTGGTCTCTGAGTTTCCTCCAAATCACGAACATCTTTCCAGTATTGAAGTGCTAGTATTAAATGCATTATTCACAAGGATTTAGAGGGCGTTGTGAGACATCTATTACACATGATGTGATGTCCCTTGGTGCTGGTCTCTCAGGATCGAAATGCCTTTTTGTTGCTTTTACCCAGCTCTGATGTCAGATTCTCTCTGTTTGGCTGCTAATCTTTGGATGTTTTTCAACCCCCATCAGCCCTTGTCGCATTCTTTTTATGATTCTTGGACTTACATGATCCCTTCCTGAACTACTTTACTACAGTCTTGCAGAAGTGGTTTTCAAAGGTAATTAAGCACTCAAAATGCTATTATGATTCACTGAATTGGTATCTATTTTTCAAGGCACATTCAATTAAAAAAGATAAAGATCGAGAGAGTGATACATGGAAGGCTTTTTACTAGGTACTGGTGGGCAGTGCAGCAAAAGGTATAAGGATGACTAAGATATATGTTAATTCTTTCCAGGATTTCCCATATCACCCTGTGATCTGAGAGTTTCATTCACATGGGCCAGGGAAGTACAAATTATGCTTGTGGATCAAATATAGCCCACCATATGATTTTTTTTGGTTGTATTGGGGTGGGTGGGTCAAGGTGCAGGGCACATCAGTGGCGTTCAGGATTGGATTTAATTTTGGCTCTGCACTCAGAAATCACTCCTGGAGGTGCTCAGGGAACCATATGGGATGTAGGGGATCAAACCCAGGTTGGCCACTTGCAAAACAAGTGCCTTACCCACTCTACTATCTCTCCAGTGCCTATTTTTGTACTTGGGGGGATCAGAGTTGTGCCACACCTGACTCACTATTGAGGGGCTACTCCCAGTTCAGTGCGGCTTAGGAGGCAATGCAGTGCCAGGGATCATATCCAGAATTCTCACATGCAAAGCATGTGCTCAATCTACTGAGCTCACTGTCTCTGGACCATCCACCACATGTTTTATAAATAAAGTTTTATTGGAACACAGCCAGACACATTAACTACTTTTCTATATCTGCCTTTGGTCTGAAATAGCACAGTTGAGCAGTTACAACAGAGAGTGGATGATTCTAAATGCCTAAAATCCTATATGGCTCTTTACAGAAGTCAGTTGCCAGTCTCTAACCAAAATTAGTTTTGTCTGGCTTGTGCTGGAATTCTCCATTGCTGAGATTCTACTTTACACTTGAGAAATCCATGGTCTGCTGAGTGTAACAGCCAAGGGAACATATAACTGATGTAAAGTAAGTATTCCACCACGCCAAAGTAGGGAAAATATCAAAATGCTGGTGGAGTATGGGAGTTGCTTGTTAATGGGAAAAATTAGGAAAAAAAAATCAAGTCTTTTGTTCCTGGCTCATGTATCATTTGACTTGGGGCTTGAGGAAGGTGCAGATATTGAGGGATGGAAGAAACTATAAAACTCAAGCCATAAAGAGG